GAGGCCTGCTGGGAGTTGGAGTCCCAAGCCAGTCAAGGGGAGGCCTGGCAATATGATTCTAGGGCCGGCTTCCCTCCTTCCCTTGGGGTATTTGGACTCCAACTCCCATCCTTCCCGGCTGCCTTTCCTTTCCCCCTGAGGGAGGGAGGGAGGGAGGGACTGACCTGGCCTTGAGCTCCTTGTGCTCCTCGCGCGTCTTGGCGAGCTCGAGCTGGAGCCTGGCCCGCTCCTTGGCGACGGAGTCGAGGGTCTTCCGGGCGTCGGCCAGCTCGGCCTCGTAGGCGCCCTTGAGCCCGCTGACCTCGCGGCTGACCTCCTCCTCGGACTCGCAGATCCGGAGCCGCAGGCCCGCGTTCTCCGACTCCAGCGAGCGCACCTTGTCGATGTACACGGCCAGGCGGTCGTTCAGCTCCTGCAGGTCCTCCTTCTCCTGCAGCCGCGTGATCCGCGCCGGGGACGGAGAGGAGGCCGACGAGGAGGCCGAGGCCCCGGCTCCAGTGCTCCGCGTGCCGCGCTTCCCGCCCACCGAGGACTCCATCCTGACAGGACTGCCGCGCCTGAGGAGAGCGGCAGGCCTTAAATAGCCTCGCCCGCCCCCAGGCCACGCCCCCTCCGCCCTCCCACAACAAGGCCAGGCCGCGCCTGCGCGCCTCAAGGCTCAATGTAAGACTCTCTCCCTGGACACGCCCCCTCCTCTTCGCCACGCCCCCTGCTTCCTCCCTCCTACAACAAGGCCGCGCCTGCGCACAACGCACGCCTCGCCTTAAAGTCAAGACAGACTCGCCTCGCTGGCCACGCCCCCTGATTCCTCCCTCCCACAAGAAGGCCGCGCCTGCGCACAACGCACGCCTCGCCTCAAGGCTCAATGTAAGACTCTCTCCCTGGACACGCCCCCTCCTCTTCGCCACGCCCCCTGATTCCTCCCTCCCACAGCAAGGCCGCGCCTGCGCACAACACACACCTCGCCTGAAGACTCAAGACTATCTATTCCAGGACTCGCCTCCCTGGACACGCCCCCTCCTCTTCGCCACGCCCCCTCTCGGCCCACAACAAGGCCGCGCCTGCGCACAACACACGCCTCGCCTGAAGACTCCAGACCAGNGCTTTGAAACAGAGGCTGGATGGCCATCTGTCAGGGGTGATTTGAATGCAATATTCCTGATTCTTGGCAGAAGGGGGTTGGACTGGGTGGCCCATGAGGTCTCTTCCAACTCTAGGATTCTACGATTCTATGATTCTATGATTCTCATCTGTCCTCGACTAGGCAGAGAGCCTTCTCGATCGTGGCCCCTTATTCATGGAATGCCTTGCCAGTTGAAACCCGAACTATCCAAGACCTATTTGCTTTTCAGAAAGCCTGCAAAACCTTTCTTTTCCGACAAGCTTTCGATGAGTGAATAACTCAGGGCTATGTCTGTTTCGCGTTTTTATTGTATTTTAAAGTTGGTTGTATTGTTTTAATCTACTGCTGTAAACCGCTCCGAGACAAATTGGGAGTGGCGGTAGACGACAAGTCTAATAAATCAAATAAATAAATAAATAAAATTGCTGAGTATCTCAAGCTTCTGATTTATCTTAGTAGGTAGGTGTGTGCAGCAGCAAAAAGTGCCAATGCAATCCTGAATTTAGTGTCTAGAGCTGGGGTCCTCAAACTAAGGGCCAGGGGCCGGATACGGCCCTCCAAGGTCATTTACTGGGCCCTCACTCAGGGTCTATTATTATTATTATTATTATTATTATTATTATTATTATTATTATCTTTATTTATACCCCGCGAAATCTCCCGCAGGACTCGACACGGCTTACAAAGGCCTAGGCCGCAACAACAACAACACACAAGTATAAGAGTAAAACTCATAAGCAAATAATAAAACATCAAGCAAAGACAATAAACACTAAAAACAATGACACATGATGCATTTAAAATCTAAAAAGGCCGGGCCAAATGTAATGGACAAAATTAAAAGTGCTGAACTTGACAGGAGGTATGCAGAGGTTTTTTGGAGGTAGGTGCGATGTGCGGACAATCCTAAATCTCTACCAAAGTGCATTTGGGACATGAAGCCAGGAGTTTCCTAATCTGGAAAGGCACACTGGAACAGCCAGGTCTTCAGGTTCTTCCTAAAAATTGCCAGCGTTGGGGCTTGTCTAATGTCCTTGGGGAGAGAGTTCCAGAGTCGGGGGGCCACCACAGAGAAGGCCCTGTCCCTTGTCCCCACCAAACGCGCCTGTGACGCAGGTGGGATCGTGAGCAGGGCCTCTGCAGATGATCAAAGGGATTGTGTGGGTTCATATATGGAGATGCGGTCACGCAGGTAGGCGGGTCCCAAACCGTTTAGGGCTTTGTAGGTGAGCACCTGCACCTTGAATTGGGACAGGAAGATGAACGGCAGCCAATGGAGCTCCTTGAACAGGAGGGTTGACCTCTCTCTGTACGGAGCCCCAGTTAACAGCCTGGCTGCTGCCCATTGGACCAGTTGGAACTTCCGAGCCGTTTTCAAGGGCAGCCCCACGTAGAGCGCATTACAGTAATCCAATCTAGAGGTGACCAAGGCATGGACCACTCCGGCCAGATCAGCCTTTGCGAGGTACGGTCGCAGCTGCGCACCAGTCTCAACTGTGCAAAGGCCCTCCCGGCCACCGCCGACGCCTGAGCCTCAAGCGTGAGCGATGAATCCAAGAGGACTCCCCAACTGCGGACCTGTGGCTTCAGGGGGAGCGTGACCCCGTCCAGCACAGGTTGCCACCCTAGACCCCGGTCCGGTTTACCACATTGTTTTAAAGTGTTTTTTGCACTACAAATAAGATTTGTGCAGCCTGCATAGGAAGTCATTCATTATTTTTTGCAAATCATAATCCGGCTCTCCAACAATCTGAGGGACAGTCACCTGGCCCTCTGTTTAAAGGGTTTGAGGACCCCTGGTCTAGAGGGAAGGAATATAGGCTATTGATTGACAGTAGCTCACTATATATACACACACACACATGCCAATACAATTCTGAGGTTTTGTATCTAGAGGGAAGT